ATGTCCAGAAAAATATAAAGTTTTGATACCAATTTCAGACCATACTAATTCCAAAATATTATTGGTTCGTTATAACGGACGATTGATTTTGAAATACAATCTGCCAATGACTCGGATAGAATATTTTATGAAAAGAGATAGTGCTCAGTTTTCTATAAATTTTATAAATGTACTAGGGGGCTACGCCTCCTGCTCGCTACGCTCGCCAACCCCCCTATGACCCCCATCATCCTTATTCTGATCCTTGTGACCCTTAATCTGACCCTCATAACCCTTATTTTGGCCCGGGTGACTCTTATTCGGATCCTCGTAACTCTTATTCTGACCCTCTTGACCCTGATTCTGTACCTCGTGCCCCTTGTTCTGACCTTCGTGGCCCTTATTTTGACCCTTGTGACCCTTAATCTGACCCTCATAACCCTTATTTTGGCCCGGGTGACTCTTATTCGGATCCTCGTAACTCTTATTCTGACCCTCTTGACCCTGATTCTGAACCTCGTGCCCCTTGTTCTGACCCTCGTGGCCCTTATTTTGACCCTTGTGACTCTTAGTGGTGGAGTCTTAATTTCGAGTAATAAATTTTTATCACCAGAAGTCGATTTGAATTTTTATAATATAGAGAGACTTCCTCAAGTTATTTATTCAAGAATAAGTGATAAATGGCTCATCCAGGATGCCATAATAAATGTGTAAGGGTACCCGTTATAAATATGAGAAGTACTTATCGTGGAAATGACCAGAGAGAAACGAGAGCGATTCATGTGGATTCCTGGTCTATAAACTTGTTTCAGTTATTGATTATAGCTTCTCTTCTAGATTCGTTCTTCATCTTTATTTTTTTTCCCTATATTCCTTTATTACATATCAATAACTTAATTCTCTGTTATATCATTAAAATACTATTTGAATTCCTACAAATTCTCAAGAACTAAATAAAAAATAAAGGTGTGATAAATATATATTCATACTCCATCGGTCACGCTATGACCACCCCGCCGCATTCGATACAATTTTTTGAATAACATTGTTTAAAAACTACAAAAATTTCGAAAAGTTTGACATCTCATTATGAAATGTTTGGTAGCTGAAAAAGAGAATTGTCATTGAAAATTGTTTTTCCAATGGAATCAGGGTTGGGTCGTTCGCTGAAAATCGGGATTTTCTATGGTACATAGTAGAATACTGGTAATTTACCGCTAAACAGTAAAAAAGGTAAAGAACCGGTAGAAAACTACTTAACTCGACTATCACTGCAAATGACCCTCGTAACTGAATTGTACGAGGGTTATATAGTAGAGGCTTCGGATAAGATACCTTAGGCCCTTAGGGACAGTAGGAGAATGGAATTCCGGGAACCCCTATGCCCCCACTACGCGCGCCCATAGAGAGGAGAAAAATAGGGATCAGCGGGTTTCAAACAAGATACCTCGCTCGTTGCGCCCGAATTCAATGAATTTCCATTTTTACTGAATGAATATCGATATCTAATCAATGTATATGTGTTTAATGTTTTGAATTTGTATCGCCCGTGTTCCCTTTTCTCTCTAAACATAACCCCGCGTGATAGAATGGCGCTGATGTTGGGGGTTATTGGTGAACTGGAGGATAATCACTGACGAAAAATTACGATTTATTGATGGGAAAAGTGAAAAAAAAATCGATGCAAATTTCCATTACTTGAAAAAAGTGGTGTGACCCCCCTTCAAGGTCATTAGACCCTCATGATCACTTCGTTCGTCCCTCCCGTTTGATCCTTAACACTGTTTGATCCTTACAACTATTCTCTTCCCATTGAAAAATGACCGGGGCCATAGGTATCTTATAAGAAGCCCACGGAACATAAACATTGGGGAGACGATAAAAGTGCGGAGAGTAGGGGTAGGCCGCGAGCGCTCGCAGCACGAGGTATCTTATAGAGGTATCTTATACGGAGCCTTGCGAAACTGTCCTGCCACCTGGTTTGACCCTTATTTGACCGTTACGACGTTTGATCCTCGCGAGGTATGACCATTGCGGTGTTTGACCCTTGCGAGACATGACTCCTACACGACTTGCGGATGAAACGGGAACTCGACCCCCTCCCTTATCAATGGGGTTGTTCTCGCGCCAGAACAACTGTTCAACTTGTTCTCAATCATGCACACACGCGGTCAAAAAGGTCTAAAACTTCCTTGGTAAATTACCTATTTTTTAACCCTAGATTAGTCACCCACATCGCCGCGCATCGTTTTTCTTCAATTCCAATTGACTGGGTAACCGGAAAAAGTAAAAAAAAAAATTGACTTCGTCAATTGAAATGTCTAAAAATTTATACTAGTTTTTCGAACAACATATTTCCCAAAATTCCCAAAGAAAACAAATTTCGGACAGATGAATTATTTTTTCCCAAGTTGAATTAAATTGCCCATGACGCGACGTTGCCGGAAAGTCACTAACCGCCCGCGGGCAGTGTAGAGTGAATTCGGCAACGATAAAGCCTAAAGCCTAAATCGAATCCCCGCGGAAGCGACCAAGTCGCAAGGTTGCGTTTGGTTACCAGACTAAGGTTAAAATGTAGAAAATTTGATAAAATACCTGGAGTAAACTAAAAGAAGGAAATACAGAATTTACCAAAAGAACAAACTTCGCAACACTCCCGATATTAACAAAAAAATGAAAGCTGAAATCAACGCTCTCAACAAAAACATCTAGTCTCTCCCAGGAGTTCAGGTCCCATCAATGGCTAAAGGTTTGCCGAGAAATTCAGCGCAAACAGGGTAAGGAATATTGGTTCACAATTAAAAAACTCCAGATACAGACCTGAAATGACGATCTCAGAAATAATATCCAACAACCAATCCCTCACCTCTGATACAGACAAAGTTAACGCTTTTGCAGCGTACTTCGAAGACGCATACAAATTGAAGGAATCAGACACCTTTGATGACCTAACGCATGACCTTGTAGACGACTGGTACGATGACTTCTCCCACTCTCCTGCAACCCCTCCCGAAAATATTCCCCTCATTTCCCAAGGCGAATACAAGAGATCCCTCATGAACGGCAAAAATACAGCCCCCGGTCACGATAGCATACGCCGGACAACCTTGAAGAACCTTTCCCACTCAATCCACCTTCACATTAGAAAAAAATTTAATTTCTGTATGAAAAACTCCCACTTCCCACCCGAGTGGAAAAAAGGAATAATCATTGTTATTCCCAAAGTCAATAAAGATATCCACCGAATTGACAGTTACAGACCTATCACACTCCTTCTCTCTTTGGGAAAAATGTTCGAGAAGATTATAAAAAAGCGATTAAACACAGCAACCGATAATGATATTCCTAATTTTCAATTCGACTTCAGGGAACACAAATCCACCTTACATCCCCTAACTATTCTCACATCTAACGTACAAACCGCCAAACACAATAACTTGAAAAGTAACGCTCTATTCCTGGACATGCAGAAAGCCTTCGACAGTGTCTGGCACAAGGGATTGCTCTTCAAACTCAGAAAACTCTACTGTCCCACATATCTCATAAACATTATCCAACAATTCCGACTAAACCGTCGCCTCTCCATTAAAATAAAAAATAGCTTCTCCCACGAATTCTCTGCCCAGCAAGGTGTCCCTCAAGGTTCCCCCCTGTACCCCCTCCTATACAACATATTCTGCCACGATATCCTAGACAACTTTTTTCAGATAAACAATCCCAAGAAATATCTCGTACAATTCGCTGACGACACTGCCCTCATTGGGCACGGCAAAAACTGGGAATCGGCAACGAAAAACCTTCAAGACCTCGCCGATGAAGTCCAGATCTGGTTCAACTAATGGCGACTCCAACTCAATCCTTCCAAATCACAATACATGTAATTCTTCCTCAATCCCCAAAAATCTTCGTCCAACATCACTCTCCAGAACACCCCCATCGATCCCTGTCCCCACACCAGCTATCTGGTTGGGGTATCGGGTATCGGGGTTGGTATCGGGGTTGAAGTTGACTACAATCTTAACTTCAAAGCCCATGCCAATATCATTAAAAAAAAGTGCATTGCTCGAGGTGTGGAGTTCCGAGGCCTCACCTATAAGGACAAAGGGCTCAACACCCATCACATTGTTAAAATATACAAAGCAATATGCCGGCCAATCCTACATTACGCCCATCCTCTTCTCTATTCCAGACCTGGTACCAAAGAAATAATAGGCGTAGCCGAAAGAACCACCCTCCGAAAAATGACAAAAATTCGTCACCCTGACAACCTCCTTCACAACCCCACCAATACCCTCCTTTACGAACGCGCCAAAATAGAACCCACCAACTGACAACGAGTTTTGCTCTTAGCAAACTGGACCATATTCGCGACCTCTGTTACAAGCGTAATCCTAGGATCAGGACTCGTTACAAATACCCTCGGCATACCTTATTTGAAAATCTCAAAGCCATCAGAATTGAGAATATGGGCTCCGACTCCTGGGGAGGCCCTGTCCATCTCCAATAATAAATTGTAAAATTCTGTAACTCCTCACATCATTTCATCCCTTTATATTGTACCATCTCGCCACACACGCAATCCTGTCAAAACCATCGTTACTTTCTCTATCTTCACTCAGTAAAACTGAATTTAAATTTTTTCGTACTTACTCATATCAACTATCATGTACATAATATGTAAATACTTGGCTGAAGGCCCTCGGGCGATGGCCAGTTGCAAATTCTTGCAGGAACTTGCAACGAATTTCGTTAAAAATAAAATAAAATAATACCTGGAGTATTTTTCTTGCCCAACCCTGAATGGAATATAGCAACCTTATATGGAGCCTCCATGGAAAACTACAATCAAAATTAATCGTCCAAATTTTCGGAAGTTTGTCAATGATACCCCTAGTTTAATTATTGTTAAATTTTACTTTATTACTGTTTTTTTAAATTTTGACTCATATTTACAGCCTATAATCTTGCCTCTCTACCTCTTCATTCCTCATTCAATTGGTCCATCATTTCGTTTATTTCAGAAACTCTGTTGAAACAGGTGTCTGCGCTATCTCTCGATCTCCAAAAAATATCTCCATCAACAAACTTAACTAAAAATGATCCTCCAGAGGTGATAACTCCAGAAAAATTGATAGAAATTAATGCAAATTTCCCGTCAGCCTCGCCCTCAATGACTCGAGATCATTCGCCAACTCGAGGGAGGTTCATAACTGCAACGAAACCGATAAAAAAGGGAGAGATACTATTCGTGGAGAAGCCCTTTGCATTTGTCCCTCTGGACCACGAGACTTCGAATTTAGTGTGTGGAAATTGCTGTGGAAGATTTTCCGACATTTCTTATCCATGCAGGGGCTGTGTCGAGGTTTCTTACTGTTCTCCGAAGTGTTGGAAGGAGTCCTGGGGGCTGTACCATCGATGGGAATGCCCTGGGTACGAAATGGGCATCTGGAGACAGATCGGAATTGCACATTTGGCCATTAAAGTTTTATTGGTCTCTGCCACTACTGAAGATATTGAGAAATTTAATGAGGTGCAGAAACTTGTGACGAACATTGAGAAGTTGTCGGATGATGATTTAATGGTTTATAGCATTGTGAGTTGGTAATTTTTTTTATTATAAATATCTTGCTATTATTGCAATGATCCCGAAAATCGAATGTGGAACTTTCATGACTTCTCAATGGTTCATGGCCTCTATATGCACAAATTTTCTAAAACCATATCGTCGCGTTTCATGACCTACATCATTTCTAGGCAAAATTAGAAGATCGTGAAAATCAACGATCACAAAGCTTCCATTCGAAGTAAAAATTGAATATAATAGGCCCTCTTTGAAAATTCCACAATTTTACCTTGAAAAATGAGATGATTTAGATTTTCTTTTGAACGATCGATGCATCTTTATCATTTGATTTTTCTTGGATGTTGAGGAAATTTTCTCGTTTTTTTTTGTAAGAAACATAAAAAAGTGAATTGGCCGGAAAGTTATTGGTTCCAACTACTGGTCGAAGTGAGCGATCGGCCCCTGATTTTGTTATTCTTATTCCAGACTGCTCTCATGCTCTCTCAATATCTCCACGATCACACTGACTTCCAGCACCAAGTGGACCTGAAAAAATCAATAATTGAAAAATTGACAAACAACGAAAATGGAGTGACTTTCAAAATTTCCACTTTGTCCGAGAAAAGAAAATTCCTCGCCAGTTTACTGTTGCGTCACATTCTCCAGCTAATTGCCAATGGCCACGCAATCACGCAACTAAATTTAATGAATACACCAAAAGGCAATATCGTTGATGAACAACAGCAGAGAATTGCCGTTGGGATTTATCCATCCGTCAGTATGATGAATCATTCCTGCGATCCAACAATTATGAACACGTGAGATTTAAATTTGCCTCTATCTACCCACGAAAATTTCACATTTATAATTAATTAGCAATTTTCATGCACTTTCCTCTTGTATTTATTTTCATTCAACTCGATTATTCGCTTCTCGTGAATTTTCGAAAGGACGTATCAAATATAAATTCTTATTTCCGTCAAGTCCGTTATTGCAAGTGTATATTTATTTAATTAACGCGGGTAGTTTGAAGAGGAGATCTCAGAAGATCTCTTTTGTAGTTAGCAAAAAGATGTAGAATTTTTCTCTTTAAACGTAATTGAACATTTTTGTTGAGGAGAGACTACTCTGAAATTTCATAATTCTAAAATTTTTTCAGAATCAATTCAAAAAAGTCGAAAACAAGTAAACTCGGAAAGTTTCAAGTCGGCGAAGGGATAAAACGGATCAGAACTCCAAAAATTCATGAATTTTTTAAATGCCCTAATCTTCAATCGATTGAGTTTAAAATTGGTTGACAAATAATTGATCTGTACGTCAATGAAAACAAGCTTGGATTTGCAAAAATATTTTTATCGCACGCCAGCCTGTAAACCGTCGTTGTGCGATAAAAAAAAAATTAATAAATCGTATTAATGACGTATTCCATGAGTGTGATTACAACCCTCGCTTTTGGCTCTGGCTGTAAATCTCACATTCGCCAAAACGTAATTTATCAACTCAGTTTTGCAGTGAATACGAATGCACTACACTAAATCTGGATATGGATTATTATTGTTTATTGTTTACTGTACAGATTGGTATGGAATGGTAGAATCTGAAAGAACCCAAAATTGCCCGGACGATTGGTCTGAGTTAAGACAAATCAATTTTCTCTTCGCCACAACGCAAATTTGCTAAATCGTGAAATCAACTACTTTTCGCTTTTAACCCAGGATTCACCAAGAGGACAACAATAAAAATGTGAAAACATTCTTATTGCTAAAGATTTGTGAAATCTCAGAGGATATATTCTCACATACTATTGGATTTATAGATATTGTAATCCATCAATTACAATCCGTACTTAAGATACAAATACAGAATTAATCCTTTCTGAATCTATGGATTTATCGTCCGAAAGATGTTAAATAATTTCCAGTCCCGAAGCAAAGCCAAATCACCACCCAAATAACAACTCGGCCCCTTCAACTCGTCCCGGAGACTCAGTTTATCATAACACCAAAACAGGAGAAGACGACTGAATAAATTCCAACTTGTGCGTATAAATTCTATAAATCCTCCCACTACCACACATTCCCGATGCCCGAGATCTCTGTGTTGGAAAGCGACATTTATAGAATTCAGATTACTGTTTGTACTGATAAACCATTGAGATTGCTATTATTGAAATTTATTTTGTGTCGTGCATTGGTGCTACATTCTCGAGATTTCTATATAAATTTATATCTGTTACTTCTATACATTTATGTTTCAGCCGCTTTGTTTATGAATTATCAATGATAAAAGGAGTTGGCTATCCTTTTTTCACTCTTCTCTGATGGGGAAATTATATTCTCTCTCTAATTTAAGGTTGAGGGATGATGGCATTGAATGCCCAATCGATTCCAATCAATTTCATTCGATATTAAGTGAGAGTGCCGACATAAATTTTTGACGTTGACTCTGATTTTCAGGGTTACATTGCGTGTAGGAACCAAATGGCTCGTACGACGCAGTAAAATTTATCGCGTGAACATTCTTATTTCGGATCATTGCTCCATCTCATGTTAAAGGGGAGATATAAATTTCTAAGAAGAGGGTGATTTGAGGCTAATTTTGCCGTTGTTGACAAATAAATTCTTAACAAAGCACTGGACACAAAAATTGTATTAGACTTTTGGCGATATGCACGATGATTTTTTGGGACACTCTGTCTACGGATATTTTCAAATATTCGTGTTTCTTTTCAATCGTGTATACGTGTAAACTATTGGGATTTTTGTCTCGGCCATGTTCTCCGATGACAGGATATCCTTTATATTTGTTGAAAGATCTCCGATCTTGGACGGATTTTACTTGTTCGGTTTCGTCCAATCTGCCTCAGACGGAGGTTCATATTTGTTTCTCATATGAAACGGGTTCGAAGACGATTCATTAAAAATTGAGACACTTGAAACTCTTCGGACTTTGCTTTTGTTCCACTTTTTTAAGGCTCTTGATGAGCCCTGAAACTCTCAGATTCATGGTTAAAGTATTTTCTCCGTAATTGCATTCATCTCAGAATCAAGTTGTTTTAAGACAAAATATGAAAATTTCGCCATCTTCTTGCCCATTAAAATCGTGTATCAAAAAACTTTGTTATACCCGGGTAATAGCTGTAATTAATGGAAAAGTAGTAATATCCGTTTGTTTTTTCCCTTGTATTTATTTTAATTTAATTCATTTTTTCTTTCCAGTTTCTGGAACGACTATTTAATCGTTAAATCGATGAAAGACGTCGGAATTGGGGACGAAATCTTCAACTGCTATGGTACGTGAATAGAGAATCTCAGAGTAATGGAAAAGAGAGAAGGAAAAAGGGTGAATTTCAATGTCTGGAATAATTAATGACTGCGACGTTTTCATGGATGATTTATGCTGTTTCTTTTAGGACCGCATTTCCGTCGTATGTCGGTGGAGGAGCGTCAGAGGGCCCTAAAAAGCCAGTACTGCTTTCAATGCAAGTGTCTGTCATGCACAGATACCGATCTGCAATGCTTTTTGGTAATAAAAAATTTTGGTTACCTTGTGGATTGCTGTGTACAATGGGAGAAGGGTTTGAGACAGTACTCTTCAACGATTTATATCTGACGTAGAGTTTCTCAGTATTCGTAGGCAATCGGTGGAAAGTTTGTTCACAGAGGAAGAAAAGTTTTAGTTTTTAGGGATTTATCTCTCATCTCTTCGAATGACTCTTAGCATTGGCAATTTTTATCATGGAAACTGAGAGATGAAATTTCCAAATTTTTAGGATCAAAACGTTACTGAATCTCAGTAAGATGTCATTCTATTATAATTATTGTTATTATTATTATTATTTTTTACTCGTAAATGAGATCACTGAGCGATCTTTGAGGGTTCCGACTTCATCGTGAAGACCGTTCAGCAAGCTAAGCGATACAAACTTCCTAATCGCTCTACAATAGTGCTCCCTCTAACCAGAGGGTGAGCTCTACTGTAGTCCAGAATCATTCTACCTAAGTAGACGAGAGACCCAAGGATGACAGCCTTTTGCATTTGGCCAGCAAATATTAGGTGTGGGATTTAATTTCTACAGATTTTTTCTTCGAGCTTAAAATTATATTTAAAATAGAAATTTATTCGCGGTCTTTTCTGGTTTTGAAAGGATCGGACAATAGGTTTCAGAACACGGATCGACAAGTCTATGTAAGTTACATAACCTTTCAGAATAGCAGAGTTTACAATGGCAACTGATAAACAGCCCATTCGGCACTGCATTTTATACGAATTCCATCAAGGAAAAAATGCTTCTGAAGCACGGGAGTCAATGTGTAGTGTTCTTGGTGCCGACGTTGTATCTTATGCAACGTATAATTATTAGTACAAACGTTTTAGAAGTGGTGATTTCGATCTGAGTGACCAGCCGCGTCCTGAACAGCCTCGAAAATTTACAGATGCGGAATTGCAAGTTCTACTGGATGAAGACTTAACGCAAACGCAACAAGAGCTTGCAGCTCAGTTAAGAGTCACCCGAACAGCTATTTCTAAGCGTTTGCGTCAAATGGGAAAAATCCAAAAACTTAGAAGGTGGGTCCCACATGTGTTGATCGAACACAACCTAGGTCAACGTATGAACACGTGCCTTTCACTGCTTGCCCGGCAACAAAAAAAGGACTTCTTGCGGAGAATTGTGACGGGTGATGAAATAGTATATTTCGATACGAGTGCGGAAAAGAGTTTTTTGGCTCGTGGGAGGTTTATAGCACGAGCTGAAGGCGAGTGATATAATCCCACGAGCCAAAAAACACTTTTCCCACGAGTATCGAATGATATTTTTCATCACAATGTGTGGAAAAGGGACGTTTTAGTCACGTGAAGCGTCATAGAAAACGATGGGCAATATTTCCAAGATTAAGTTCGTTGTTCTCTATTTTTTTATATTAAATAAATTTACTGCAAAATCTGTAAAAATTAAGTCACACACCTAATATGAAGGCATTACGCCTATAGCCGGGTATGATTTCGAGCGTAGATATGAAGGACTGCTTCATTCCCCTTAGAGAGCCAATAATGATGACAACCAATTTTATTCTGAACTCCCGGTTCAGTTGACGTAGCTCGAACAGAAGTGGTTGATACTTGAGCCATATGGCCACTTCCTTAGCTGCTATAAGGGGTGTTCCATACTATTTCAATCAACTTTTTTTCGATTTCGATGAAAGTTGAATATGATATTGTGACGTTTTAGGTAGTTCACTCACTGCCTTCAATCCTGAGTGATACTACCTTGAGTGACTAGTTCTTGTGACTAGTCACTATTAGTAAGAGAACCTTTTATACTTCCTTGCTAGGGCCGTCAAACACCCTATACCCAGTTAACTATTACGGTTACGCTTACGGGGGATCCGCTCACTTCCGGAATAGTAGGATGTAGGGATTTTAACGATGTAGCTATGGTACACTCAATGTCTGGTAAAAGCTATAGGTTTATTCTTGACTAAACTACGAACTAAATACAAGACACTGATTCGGTTGGGGGGGTTCGGTATACGCGGTATTAAAAGTGGAGGAGCTGAGATGACCGTTCAGCTTCACTCCCGTACTCACTCTGACTCTTATGAGTCCTCAAAAGTTCCAAGACNCCTATACCCAGTTAACTATTACGGTTACGCTTACGAGGGATCCGCTCACTTCCGGAATAGTAGGATGTAGGGATTTTAACGATGTAGCTATGGTACACTCAATGTCTGGTAAAAGCTATAGGTTTATTCTTGACTAAACTACGAACTAAATACAAGACACTGATTCGGTTGGGGGGGTTCGGTATACGCGGTATTAAAAGTGGAGGAGCTGAGATGACCGTTCAGCTTCACTCCCGTACTCACTCTGACTCTTATGAGTCCTCAAAAGTTCCAAGACTCGAAATTGCAGATGTAAGCAATCTCACGGTCCTGGTGCACTAATACAGTTTCATGTCATCACTGACACAAAACTAAAACAGTCAAACAGCTCTTCTTCTAAGAAGCTGGACTCAAGTGTCACCATGGGAATGCTGAGTTCTGCTCGTGAACGATGAGACAAAAATCACATTTCTTTTCCCATCGTTTAGAATTATAACTTGAATGTAACGTATTATTCATAATACGTCATTGTTATTCACAAACAATCGACGTATTGATCACAATACGTCACAATATAGAAGTGTTGCAAGCATGCCTTGAAATGTTATTTAAAAAAAAATGTTTTTTGAAAATTATGCGAAATCAAAATTTTTAGGTTGTACCAGGTAGGTAATTTAAAAAAAAATTATAACTCGATAAATATAAACTTTATCAAAGAAGTGTAAATGACCTTTTTTACTCAAAACATGTGTAAGTTTCGGGAAAAAAAATCCAGACTCGAAAAAGTTGAATTTACAATGAATTAATCAATAAACAAATTAAAAAGTTAACAACAAATCATGAGGGTAGGTCGTGACAAAATCGAAAAAAATATACGCTATAGAGTAATTATCTAAGAATTGCCGGTACAATTGGCGTTCACTAATCTCCAGCAGTTCCCGAGATATTTAGTTTTTTATGAGGCTCTCGGCTGAGAGCGGAGATGTCAGCGTGCTGCGGTGAGTGGATTTGGTACCATCTCCGATGCCTAGGTTCTCAGTGTTATCAGTGTCTTGGAAATAAATTGAATCGATTGTCTACTATTGAATTAAATTGTGAGTCAAATTCAAATTATAACACATTATCTAAAAAACAATAAGATCAATTTATTAACAAATTCTGCCGGAACATTTACAAATGTACAATGTTACATGCATCAGACATGGCTATTTCACTATTTATTTGATACTACATGACATTGTGGATCTGAAATTCATCGTCAAGAGAAGAAGTTTTACACTGAAGACTATGGGCATTAATAATTGGTACATAAGAATGACGGGTTCCGGTGATGGTTGAAGCATTGGAAAATCGAGTTTTCAAAGCCTCTTGTTCTGTTCTATGTTCCTCATTTTTACAAAAGATACTTTCTATTGATTTTATTGAGTCTTTGGCGAATTCATAAGTCTTGTGGTGTTTTAATTTGATTTTCAACCGGTCGTTGTAAACTCGCTGGAGTTGTAGCTCTCTTCACCATTCCACCGATGCCATCACATGGCGATTTTCCATGGGATGTTGCACAGAAATGCCACTCATACCGAAGTCCAATTCATGGTAAATGAGATTAATTAAATTTTTCCTATTTTTGTATTGAGAACTGGCGCGGGCCAAAAAATAATTTTTTTTATGTCGCGCCGTGCAATAAGTCGAGTTTATCGCACGCTGCGCTTCGCGCAGCCTGCTCAAAACTCGACTTCTGCACGACTTGATATAAAATATTATAGAGCACTCGGTAATAAATTTCGTTTTCAACGAATGTGTGGTCGTGTGTTTGGTGGTTTGTGTGTTCGATGTGTTCATCTACACATTCGTTGAAAACGAAATTTGTGCCCTTGTACTCTAATGTACTATTATTGATTTGACTGTATGTACTTTTTAAGCGGTTAATGACTTTTCTAAGGAACAGATGAACGGCTGCGGTGTCATCATTTAGAGACTCAGAAACTAAAACAAAACTATCGTGCTTCAACTCAGTGCCATCTCGATGATAAGCAATGATGATTAGGTGAAGGGTTACTTAATCTTTTATCCAGTGATAACCTTAAACAGCATCCTGAATTAAAAAACTAATTTTCCGCGAAGTCAATAAGAATTATGAATTCGCCAAGTTTTAAACTCTCTTTGCATTGATTCAAAAATACGTGTTGGCTTTTAGCAATGAAATCATGCTGTCGGAGGGCCTTCAAATCAATACACAAATTAGTTATGAATGAGTCCGTTTGTTCAGTACTTTGGATCAATTCAGATCGGTCAGTAGCAGTCTAAATCATGTAAGTCACTGAATCAATAGAATTTACGTCACAAATCTCCTCCAAATGCAATTGAATGTTCTCTATGCCTGGACATTTAGAGCATTCACCGAAGTGGCACAATGAAGTGGGTTGTTCACACATGAGCAGGCATCGAGTGCGTCCGGTAATTGCAATGCTTTGATTCCTAATAATTTTAATTTAACATTTTGATGAATTTCACGTCGCCTAAGGCAGGGCACCTCCTGTGGTGCGGTTGACCTTATGCATCAGTTGACTGTCCATTGACATTTCCGGGAATCATTTCATTGTGAATAAGTAATGTAAAGTCAGGAATACCTGTTTTGCAATCTCCCGTAATTCATTGTTGATTGAATTTCGAAGAAAATACCACGCTGAGAACCCATTGGGTATGATTCACTCCGCGCGTTTTTCTTGAAGTTTGAAAAAAGTCTTTCGGTTTGATTGAAGTAATATGGAACGTCCCATATTGCTTTCAACCGAAGCCGAGAACTCAATGACAGATGATTTTGTCATCAAAATCGAAGAGGACAATGTCAAGTTTGGTTGCAGCGATAGGCCTGACGGACTCAATATCTCCTGGAGCATAAGACAGCACCGGCGTTCTGTCTATTCCATAGGAGTGCCGCAAATGATGATATAGTACTCTTAAAGCCGCATTATGACGATGAATATAACTCGTGATTGCATACGTCAGACAAGCCGATAAAAGATATGCATGGGAGTTTCCGGGGACTGTCTGCAAGCCCGACGGCGAGTGTCTGGAACTTGCAACCCCATAACGCGATTCTGATAGACTAGAGTGTTTATTACGCGATCTTGACACACGCAAATTAAATCCTCATCGTTTTGGACATCAAGCCATCATACTTCAAGAAAGAAAAAGTCAGCTGGACGGACAGGATTTTAGAATTTCCTTACTCGTTGAATTTATGTAACCGCGGGTTCCTAAAAATTAGGGATCTATTCCTAGAGACTAAAACTTTTTATCTTCATTTAAACTGAATTTCGTAGGAAATTATTGTTTTATGGGGATCAAAGTAAAAAAAAAAAACAAAACTTAAATTTTTTTGGGAAAAGTGAATTACAGAAACGTTGATTTTTCTATAGAAAGCATCAAAGGTCTTTAAAAATTGGAATTTTCATGAAAAATTCCAATTTTTACGAAAAACTTTAATTTTTTAAATCTAGGATTTTCACAAAAATATTGAATTTTGAAGGAAATTTAAAATTTCTATGGAAAACTACGTTTTTTATTTACGAAAAATATGAATATTTCTTTTCATGGTTTCTCCCATCATCATTATCATCCAATTTCCAATTTTCCTCAAACGCACTTCCAACCTCGCTAACTTCAACAATTGATTTCAGGATCGTTTTACTGCATTTAAATGTTCCTCATGCTCGGGTCCCCTGACCCCCGTCAACAAAGCCTTCTCCTGCCTGGACTGTCACAACTCAACGAAGATTGATGTGGCTTCGCAAACGAAGGATTTGGAAACAGCACAAGACCTCTTCGCCTCGTCCCAGGACCTCCTAGACCTGGAGAAATTCGAGGAATCCAAGAAAAAACTCCTTCAATGTCTAAACATCCGCATGAAAATCCTATTCAGGCACCACGAGGACGTAGCAATAACCCTAGACTCTCTGGGAAAGGTATCAGTGATAATGGGTCAATGGTTGGAGGCAATATCATATCTTGAGGACAGCATAATCACAGTTGAGGAGAAATTCGGCGGAGACAGTATCGAAGTTGCTAACGAGTTAAATAAAATCACTGACGTTTGCATTCAATACCTCCAGAAGGACATGAACAGAAGGTCGGAGATTTACAAGTGAGTGGAACATTTAAATCTCAAGTAGTTTGGATCGATTCAATGGAACGGTGGGTTCACCTTTGTGCATACATTCCAGACTTTTTTTTTGGTTACAAGAGCATCGACTCGATTGAATATGAGGTGAAAAACTTATTCACTCAGCTATTGCTTGTGGACTGACTCTTAGAAGTTTTCTCTTTCGAAATTGACGTTGAAACTTTAAAGAGGTTGAACTAACATTAGTTTGTCAATTTCATTGGTGCATCAAATTTTAGGTGGGAGATAAGTGGGATGTGACTGAGTTGAAAGAAAGAAAATGGGTCTGGCCTCTTTTTTTTATGTGGTTGTCGTGAACAACCGGCACAAGAACAAGGACCATGTGTTGTCCTCTTTCAGAATGTATGTGACTGTGAATGGTTACGGCGGGATGTTTATTTTCTGTGAATTTGAGAATTTATGGTGGAGAAAAAAAGTGAAGGAACACAAGTGATGAACTGCAGCTGAAATTTGGAACAGAGAAACTGTTGTGGATGGTTATTCAAGTAGTTCGGGCAATTTTTTCGGGGGGAAGTTCTTTTCAGAGTTCATAGAATAGAGCAAGATTATTTTTTAGGCGCAATATCAACCTTAGTTTCCGAAAAAAATTTCGAGAAAACGATCTTTGAAATAATGAAATTTAACACATTGCGACCATAAGAGCTGTATTCTCCCACCTTCAATCTAATAGTTCATAGTCTTGAAGCGTTTTAATTTTTTTTGTGACATTAAAAAACAAGTTTCTGGACAGATAATCGCAAACAATCAAATTAAAAACTTTTCGATCGGTACGACGGCCATATTCGGTGGTTGCAATCTACGCATTCCTGACGTCTGGCAACGGTCCGCTCAAGTGACTACTCCAACTGAATTTACGAGTTATATGCAACACGTGCAGTGTTGCCGTATTATTATTAGAGGTTAGACCAACGAGAGTCAAGTGTGAAATTGAATAAAATATTGTTCATAATATTCATTGAACAAATTTCCGAAAAAATGTATTCAACAAGGAAAAATCTGAAAAAGTATGGGAATGGCAACATTTTCGGCAAAACTGAAATCTTGTTTGAAAAAATGTTGCTAACTTGAACGAAATACTTGGATATCCTTAACCCTTAAGTGGTCGCATAATGAAGGAATCCCCGCTGTTTTTCGATGTTTCTTTTCACAGAAAAACTTTGTGAATGAAAAATCCATAAAAATTTGTATTCCTACTTTCAAATATATGGAACACATCAACATCTTTTTTTCGGTCCAGACTTACATCAATGAATTATTAAAATCTTCTGAAAACTCGACTCGCTGACAATCCCCATGTTTAACCTCAAAATTTCATTATTTTGCACTTTTTCAAGTAGAGTTCTTGGATTATCTGACAACTATTTCGCGTCCATACCCCCATTTCCTATTCATTGAAAGTTCAAAATTATCTGTGAATGTGGAATAATTTTTTTTTTGTTCGATTTTTTTTCTCGAAATCGTAAAATACACGGGGCGGAGATTCTCTTACCGTGCAACCAACTACGTTCGGTGGAAAGCTGCGACCACTTAACGGTTAAGGGTCTTTCACATCTTTTTCAACCGTTACATTTGAGAGGTTTAAAAAGAAAAAATGAAAGTGTTAATTTATGTATTTTTTTTCAGTCAAGATTTTACGTATGGCTGAAAAGTTATATTTGTTTAAAAAAAGAAAATAGTAAAAATCATTGAAAATTTCTGTACGGAACAGTGTCGGCACTTACCGGAAGAATTTGAAAAAAGAAATTTGTGCTTTGAAGGCATATTATGTATTTTAATTCCGGATATCAGAGGAAGATTGTCGATAGACGTGTGAAAAAATCGTATAGAAATTCTATTGCATTTGCGTATCTGATATTCGGATATTTCTATACGAGTATTTCCCTCATCGGAATCTCGGCCAATAGGAGGCACGTTGCTAAGGGAGAATAAACAAAATAATTGAAATGCGAAAGTGTAGGTTGTACCACATTGACATCAAATGCTGCCCTCCAGTGACCGAAATTCCGATGGAGGAAATACTCCTCCAAAATACCCGTCGAGCTTCAAAATGCATCGGGTATTTCCCTCAACCTTTCCTGCAAACAAACGATCGTATCAAGTTTTGGAGGTTTAAAAATCCGGAGCGCGAAGTGCTTCGTTGCAAACAACTCTCGTTTGTTTGCAATGAAGCTATAGTCGAACTGAAATTTCTTTACCTTTGGGCGGCAATGTTCAGGTTGTTTCCCTCCACCTAACAACGCGTTTTGATGATCCCTCTGCGGCAGAAACATAGTCCGCTATTATATATAAATAAACACGTGAGACCCACGTGTTTTGAATTTATTTATTCCTATGAGTGAAAGAACCTTCCTAAAAAAATTGTTCATCAGCTCTGAGTGTTGATTGAACGATTGTGTAGGGAAATTCATAAGAATACGGTGAGTAGTTTAGGAAAAAAATTATTGCCCATTGGTTATACTCAATGCTAATGATCTTTTTAAATTTGCGCTTCGCTAGTTAAGTTGACGTAAGGAAAAATTGTCAAACGGAAAAATTGTCAAATGAGAATGCGAACCCTGACGGAACCTGTAGACTGCTAGTAGAGAGTGAGTTGACTCTCTATTTGTTCCTGGAGTGGAGAGAAAGTTGAGAGATCGTGGAGAGTTGGACTGACAGGGCCAATTCTCTACTCATGAGTACTTTTAGAGAGTAGATAGCTGAGGGGAGGACTATTCTGGGCTTCGTGGATTTAGGCCCTTGAGTAATCAGACCCTCTAATCTTTAGAACCTTCGACCTCATGCCTCTCTGAACGCCCAGAGCCGAAATTTTTTGTGAACGCTGAATGTTATGGCCCTAAAACCTTCCACCCCCTACAGATTATGAATCATAATGTGACCCTTATATTTTCAGAGCCTTGTTGATTCTGACCCTTAGATTTTGACCCTAAAAATTTCTGACCCTTAAAAAAGTCTGACTGTCAAATATTTGAACCATATTATTTTTGACCCTTAAAATGAGGCCAACTGTCTACTATCTACTTTTGTAGAGAGTGGAGAGTTGGGATCTGATGCTTGGTGGAGGCTACTCTCCACTCTCTACAATTGGTGGAGAGTGGATAGTTGGGATTGCGGACTCAATATATTGTGACCCTTAATGCTTCTGACCATAAGATTTTGGATTTTGACCCTAAAAATTTCTGACCCTTAAAAAAGTCTGACTGTCAAATATTTGAACCATATTATTTTTTACCCTTAAAATGAGGCCAACTGTCTAGCTCCGTGAAGTGGGCACCCCACTTGGTTGGATTTGAACCAAAATTTCATAATTGATAGATTTTGAGCTACTCGTGATAGTAGTAACGTTTTTCTTGTTTGTAGTTTGAAATGGAGCGTCCAATTCGTTTTTGAAATACAGTTAGGAACTATTCCATAGTTAAAGCTGGAGTGACATTGGATTCTCGTCTGCAATCGTTTGTAGTTGATTGTAGTTGTGGAAATTTCACGATCGGAATCAATAAACATTCAATCGATTTTTTTTAACAGTTAGGAACTATTTCATAGTTGTATTTGAAATGACGTGGGATTCTTATCTGCAATCGTTTGTAGTTGATTGTAGTTGTGGAAATTTCACGATCGGAATCAATAAACATTCAATCGATTTTTTTTAACAGTTAGGAACTATTTCATAGTTGTATTTGAAATGACGTGGGATTCTTATCTGCAATCGTTTGTAGTTGATTGTAGTTGTGGAAATTTCACGATCGGAATCAATAAACATTCAATCGATTTTTTTTAACAGTTAGGAACTATTTCATAGTTGTATTTGAAATGACGTGGGATTCTTATCTGCAATCGTTTGTAGTTGTTTGTAGTGCTCACAAATTTCCAATGCACCGAGAAAACGGGGTGGCAGACAGTTGAGATATGTAAAAGAATACGTTTGGAGTTGTTGTTGGAAGTGAAAAAAATTAAAAAGAAAAGAAGATCCATATGAACCAACGTCCATACGTGATTGTAGTTTTGGAATTTTTCCAATCCATACTCAAATGAGCATCCAATCGATTGTCGGAGTACAAGTGGGAACTGTTGAATAACTATAGCCAAAATGGC